TTTATTTTAATTTATATTATAATTTTATTTGTTTTTAGTAAGTATTTATTTAGATTTGTTATTTTAAAATGATTTATTTTAATTTTATATTACGATTTGATTTGTTTTTAGGTAAGTATTTCATTGACTTTTTTTAAAGCTGATCTCAGAGTAATATGTACTGAATGCAACTCAAACGTCTTCATCACAGGCTGAAGAGCTAATGCACCGCAGCAGTAATGCTCCTGAAAACGCAGCGTTTCTTCAGTAATCAGGTTTGCAGCCCGACACCGATCCGCAGCCGCAGCAGCGACTCACTTATTGCGATTGGTGTGAAAGATTACCGGACTCTTCCCGGATAAGCGCTCGCTTCGATGCGGCTGTAACCGCAAACCCTGCAGCCTTTATCAACACCAGACACCAGCTGTCTCTAAGAAACCATCAGTAAACACATCCACACTGACAGCACCTCAGCACGGCCTTTATTATCCTGATTGAGGCGTTGGGAGTGCAGGGGCCCTGTGGAGAACAGGTTTGAGTGGATTTTCTAAATAAGGTCTGTGGGAGAATAAGGAGAAGGGTGTGATGGGACAGAGGTCACGCTCACTCTCTCCGCTCCTTCTATCTGGCCTTACACTCATCCATTTTTCATTGGTGTGAATCAGCAAGCAAATGTGCTTCCTTCAAACTGGCCACCTTCAGTTTTCTCTCTCAGGTCAAACGTGTCTCGCTTTGGGAATTCTGAACATACTTCAGAAAGCATCTAGTCTCTGTGTGTGTGTGTGTGTGAGAGTGTGAGTGTGAGTGTGAGTGTGAATATAAAATTAAAATAAATCAATAAAAAATTTTAAAAAATGTACTAAAGATGAATAAAATCATTAAAAAGTAAAATAAAAAAATTTATAATTTTAAAATAAAAAAATTAAAACACATACTAAAAATAAATATGAACAAAATCATTAAAACAAAAAGTACAACTAAAAAAGTTACATAAAAAGAAAAAAAAAAAACTAAAAACACTTACTAAAAATGAAAAAAAAAAACATAAATGTAAAATTTATTTAAAAATAAAAATTCAAAATAAAATATAACTTACTAAAAAATGAATAAAATCATCATGTAAAATTAGAATAAATAAATAAATAAAAACACATCCAAATTTAAAGCTTATTAAAAAAAGATGAGATATTTTAATTGTATACCTGCATGTCATGTGACCGTTAACATCAGAAAACCATGATCGTGAATGTGCTGTTAATATACTGAAATTCTGAGTAAATATTCCATCTGAAAGGGGTTCAGCAGACTATTCTTTTTTGGAATCCCTGATGTATTCGATACACAGCTCACCACGATATGTCTAATGACCATTATAATAAAAACAAACCCAAATAAAATAAGCAGCTAATGAAGCTCTCATCAATATCTACAAGCAAACGATCAGAGTGTCAAATTAGGCATGCAGTCATAAACTCTAATTAACGAGGGAGACACTCACGGAGCTGGGGCTGGAGTGGCGGCGGAGTTTGGGAGACTCTTTCCCGGAGGACGAGCTCTTGGCGTTGATGCAGGCGTTGTTCTCCGAGTGCACGCGCTTCACCTGACCAGCCGGCTTCTCGAAGGGGTCGAAGCCACTCTGCGTCCGCTGCACCTTTCTGTCCTCAGGGATAGTGTCCAGGGGCTTGATGAGCGAGTCCGATCCCTGGCAGCTGCGAGTGGACATCTTGGTGACACATATCTGAGAAGAAGAAGAAGCCCAGAAGAACATCAGCACTGTAGAAAACATTGGATTTCTGTCGCTTTCCACGAGGAATATTTCTGACTTAAAACTAGATGCATTTACTTGAGAAGCAAAACTGCATAAGAAAAGATGATTTTCTTTTTTTTTCAGAGACACGGTTTATTTTTCCTGAAAAATAGTTGTAGTTGTTTTAAGAATAAATGTAACAAATTTTAGTGAGTTTGATGCTGAAAAACAACAACAATCAAACAGAAACCTTTGACAGTGCTGGAAGAAAAATCATCATGCACGATTCAGTTTTCAGTAAATCTCATTTTAAGCATCTTTGCCTTTTTTAAATGCAAAAACAAGATAAAAATCCTCGTTTGCAGTGAAAGTATGTC